AACACCCTTACTGTCGATTACCCTATTAGGACACCCTTACTGTCGGCGAGCCTACCAGGGTACCCTTACTGTCGGCAAGCATTCCAGGACACCATTACTGTCGGCGACCCTATCAGGAAAACGAAAACCCTTATTGTACGCGACCCTACCAGGAAACCCTCACTGTCGGCTAGCTGAGTGATCTAATGTCAGCCTATTTAGTAATTTACAGCTGTAGGCCTACTGTGAAATCTCTGCTACACACTGTAATATAGCATACAGTTCTGCTGATCAAAGAAACAATTATGAAAGAAATATATAATTATACGTAATTTACACTCCGAATAATTACTCAAAACTAATGTATAGTGTGTATGGGTCGTTTACATAAATGTTAGCGATATCAGACGTCTATCAAAGGAGGTACTTTGTTTGAAATAAATACGTTTGCTGTGATTGTCCACAGAGGGTCATTACAGGACACAGCAGCACACACAATATACAGGTACTAATGTATATTGCTTGACAATTCTCACCTATGGTTTCTAGCATCACCCAGAACATGTTTTTTTTGCGGATCTCTGTGAGTGTTGCGTTCAATGTTCGCGTGTATATGCTATATTGGATTCCGTATAATTATACGTACTTGTCGTCCGCTATGTTAATTGGATATTTTGCAATAAAACCTGAAATATTCGTAACAATAATAATGAATTAATGAGAACATGGGTAGTTTTCATTGTTGACTTTTTGCGAATAAAAGGACTAAAGCAGTTAATATACGGGAAATAGATGACGATGCAGGTTACCACAGCGGCGACAGAGAGGTGGACTGTAAAGTTGTGTGTGTCTTTTGCTGATTGATTCATAGGGGTGGTAGGTGTCGACACAAATCTGAATTAGTTTTTTTCTTAAATATTTATGCAGTTTGACGTTCGTGATAGAATAGTAATACAGTATATCTCTGATTTGTTCAGAACTTGCTAATACACATCTTATATAAATACCATATATCCTTACCGAAATATTTATTATAATGACCATTCACATTAACAGCTTCTGCTGGAGGGTTTTAACGTTTGCATTAAAATCTTACCAGCTTACCATGTTCTTATTTTATTTTAGATAAAGTTCATCAAATTGCAAAATCCCTTCACACTTTGGTTCTATATAGAAAACCCACACTTGCTAAGCGCATCACTACACCCCAGCGTCACTTCAATTATGCATTTGCATTATACAACTGTGCATATAAGTAGACATAGATGAATTGCATTTGGTAAGGTGTAAACAATTAGCCCATCGATTGAGCTGTCTATATGTATGTAAACTGTATAGACTGAGGACCAGGGATTAGTCTGGTGGGTTATATTATCGACGTATAGACCTATACATGTAACCTATGCGTCATACACCTCCGTCAGATTAGTTGTGTTCACGTCCCAGTAAGACCTTTCTGAAATGTCATGACCAACTCATGTGTTCAACAAAAACGTGAATGCCGACAGATATTGTTGTCAACGGGATACACATGCATTCACGAACGTCAATCTAAACGTATACTGTTTGTCACTTTTATTTTTTAACGATATAATCAGTCCCATAAGGTCTTCAACAGCATTTGGACCCAAGTTTGCTGAAAAGTGCACACTAGACTTTCGGTATAGCGGGAAACTTGTTTTAGATCGTAAAACAAGACCCTTAGATAATGAAATAAGAATGGGTTCCTCAGAATAAATGTGAAGGGTCTATATTCATTCTGCTTAAAAAGTGACGTCAGATGTTTCTTTGTGAAATAAAACTAAAATGATAAGCAGTTCGAGAGGTATGTTAATGAAATATGATGAAGTATCATGTACTTGGTGTTTCGAAAACAGAATTGGTGTAACTTGTGTTGTCGCGTCAGCCATATGCACCTTCATGTACACCAACGGTTCCGTGAGGGACTTTTCTAACAATGGTGTCCATTGGTGTCATACTGTCTCACTTTTTGATTTCCAGCGACGTCACATCACGCTTCATCGAGACAATGTCCGACCTCACGTGTCATGTATAGTGACTGACAAAGCGTGGCCTTGATGCCCGGACCTGTTGTTTCACCTGATCTATGTCACATGTCTGGGAGAACTTGGCTAATGATGTTGGCGCAGTTCGGTCCAGCCTTTACCCAAATATTGAATGACACATCTTAAACCTGTTTACTAGTCTTGTATCGCCAATATGGCGCCAATAAGAGGCATGTCAGCGCAAATGATGGTCATACACGATATTGACTTTGTTTATAGACTTTTGACTGTCATTTTATTTACGCCCCTTATGATGTGTTAATTTACCCAAGTCTTGTGTATAAATTACCATTAACATGACAACACATATTAGTTTACATACACACAGCGGTATTAGTGATGTTTTATCAATGCACTCGAACTTCCTCCTTATATAGTTAGGTGATAAATCTACTATATTTTGATAATTTCAGCGGTATATCGTGATTAAACTGTCGCAAATTGAGTTTTACTGGCGACGCGGTGTGGATGTTTACGACAGTGTAATAGCGATATACCAACGCAAATTTCAAAATACTGTATTATAATTTCCGTTCTTATTCATATCAGCCAAAACCTTAAAACGAAGATTTTTCTCTTAAAGATTTGGGCCACTCTGCCAAGGATTTGGGACGTCTGGAGTTACATTGAGCACATTTTAGGTGACGGTATTTTCGTGACGTCATTGATGATCGATTTCATGACATGTCGGGGTCATTCGGGGTCCTTATGCATTTGGCATCTCACTTACTTGACAAAATACCACCTTTAAGTTAACGTTTTTTTCTGAACAAGTCCTGTATATGTATCTCTCAATATATCACCAAACCTCTTCACATCGGTGAATGGAATGGTGGCAGTGAAACAGGGTTTTATTGTGTTTCACATCAGCATGTTCCACAGGCTTTTTTCAGGTGCATGACACGTTCCTATTAAATCACTATTTCAATGAGGTGAAATTGTATTCGAACACATGAAATAAGCACAGGAATGAAACAAACGAGTCGATCGTACATGTCGTAAACCGAGAGGATTTGATAATAAAACACATTGAACATGCAATTTGTTTAAATCGATAAGAATAGGACAAATATACTTGAGCAGTGCGGTCCAATAGTGTCCATTATAAGCATTTAACGAGTAGAAACTTACAGAACACGAGCCAAACTTAGAAAATACCACCAACGCTATAATGAAGCTACGATCTTCTGAAATGTCAAATGCCCTGCTTATTTGTTTAATCATAGACGAACGAGGAAAATGGGCAATTACTCCTTCCAGCTGTCAATTTCACGTCTATCATTAAGACATTGCAGACTAGGAATCTGATTATGGAAATGATGGGACGTTACTTGGTAACTTCCGTCTGTCTGCCGTAGACCAGATTGTTACGTACTTGCATAATTATGTAAGCTGTATTGAAATAATCTACCACGGGGAAAAGAACGTTGTGGTCTACAAACAAGCATGGTTAGCATATAGACGTTAAATCGTATGGTTTAACGTCGAATCAAAACGATTTTGAGTGTATCAAATTCATCATCGAGTAAGTCATATCCCTGTTTTACTCATCCGTTGATTCAAGAAACCAATTTTGAAAAGTTTCTCTACAAGAACTAACGTTTCAGATTGGTTTTTATATATGTTTTCACGTGAATACCTGCGATGAACACACGTTTTCAGGCTTCTCCTGGTTGTAACCGTATTTTATACAACAAAGCAAAATAAACACGAAATTAGATAATAAAGAATAGTGAATAAACATAATTTTATCGTATGGAGTTTGAAACGTTATCATGTGTATATTATAGTTCAGATTACTTGCAGTGTTTGATATAGAAATAGAATCAATAGCATGACCAACATCACTGAATTACTTATGTAATTTGGCATAATGCAAAGTCGCTTTAGGTCGACATTCAGACTGAGATAAGCCTTTTTTGCTAGCATTGTGTATATACGTACATTGATGTGACGTGTCTTGTCTTAATGCCTGTCAGCATAACCTTCCCATTTTACGCCGACAATCCTTAACAGAACCTTCATGTGTTTACTTTACGTCTTAACAGATCGCCAATGTCCTTTCTCTTTACGCCTTCATATAGCTTTCTTTTTTTACCTTGTCATGTGCAAACAGCGCATTTCCTTATTTATTTTTACTTCCGGAAATACCCTCACTAATTTTATGTCATTATATTCTAATTGAACTGTTTACTTGTTTTAAACCGTCTCACATGGCCGTTATATTTTGCAGTTTGAATCTCTTGTATACCATTTTTGTATAACTACTTGATGCCCTGGTATAGGCTTGCTAATTTTCTACTTCGCTCCTTTTTTGTACGTCTGTACATACACTTTCTATTTCGTTTTGTTTACGCCTTAAAAAGAGCTTTCCGATTTCCTGAATAATTTATAAATGCCCTGACTGCTGACTGAAATGTCTTTCCTATTTCATTTATTTTTGCTCCTTCGTGCCTCCTATGTCACCGATTTATGACTTCACCTATCTTGCTAGAGCATGTCTTTCATGTATGACCGGGGTTTGATTTCTGAATTGGAATAATAAAGGTATTGGGTCACCTGCTCGACCACTTGGTTTTCTCTGGGCACTCCCACATTAGGACCCTTTGTGCTATCACATCCTGTCAAACAATTGTGCTTAGTAGAAGTTTGATCATTGCTGAAAATCAAACAAATCTTATACATTTCTTTTCGCCATAGGTTATTATTCTAAATCCACTTCCTTTCAATTGATATAACCCATCTATTTCAAGACGTTTTGATTTGCCAAAACTACACATTGGCCTCTTTAAGCCCTAGTGGACCCTTTCTCTGAGCCCGAGGTGGTTGTCTCTCACATATTTTTCCATAGACGGCAGTTTCGTCAGATAATGAGACTTTAGGGTATTCCTTGAAACCAGAGATTCCTTCGTCGAAGACAATTTACTTATTCAATGTGATTTTCTGTCTTTGTAGATATTTGTATTGCCCAGCGACTGTCTATTTCTCGTGACTCTACAGACGACGATTTCGACAACACAGTGATGAAGTTGATTGGAAATGACCGAGCAAAAGCCGTAGTAATGTTTGTCAACGAAGACAATTCCAAGCGCCTCCTCCGGGCGTTAATGCGCTCAAACCGATCCGATACTCTGTGGTTCCTAGCTAGCGATAGCTGGGGCGCCAAGGTACATCCGGTTTTTGGACAGGAAGTAGCGGCTGTGGATGCCGTTACCATTCTTCCTAAGCGACACGTTATAGAAGGTAAACATGTAGGATTTATTATTACAATTAAATGCCGCTAGAAAGTGTATGTATACATGAAGTTCCCTCTAATTTAATTATTATGCATTTATTAAAAACAGCAAACAAACAAATTTAATCTGATATTATGAATCCCTTTAAATGTAATTTATAGGTTACTCGGCATACTTTATTCCAAAAACATTGTATTACTTGATTGATCTTAGTATAAACAGTATCACATTTGTTTCTTTTTTATAAACCTAGCTTTGTTCGTCCTCACTACTTAACAATCAGATGGTGGCCTACCAAATAAGAACATATGTTGATATAACATAATTTATAAGAGAATAACGACGATGAAGATTGAGACATCGTTATTTGGACATAACGTTGATTATGGCTTCGAGTTAAACGCTTAAATGACGATGTTGTTTCGGATGGCTGTTAAGTCACTATGGTTTCATTAACATTTACCATACAAAATACAGAACTTTTATCTCAATGACTGATAGCTCAAATAAAGTGTGTTAATAACTTACATTACTATAAAAGTGCTTATCATGATGAAATAAAAATTACACATGTGAACAATGTACACCAATTATTCAGTATAATTGAATATTTACTAGAGAACAGTATACACTATATTCCCCTGGCAAGTCGTTTCCTCAACTATGATGAAATACGTTTAGGATGATAAACACGATATTATTATTTTACTTCTGTATATTTTTTGTTCTTTTCAGAGTTCGACGAGTACTTTCTGAACCTCTCTCCCGAACACAACACCCAAAACCCGTGGTTTGCAGAATACTGGGAGACAATTTTCAACTGTAGCATCAGTCGAAAAGCAAAGACTAGGAAACGGTGCTCTGGTATGGTTAATACGATTGAATAAAACAACAGCATTTCATAATGTAATGATTCATTTGTATGAGCTACATCTATTTATTCTTACTTGAAATATCATAAAACTTTGTAAGACCTGACCGGTACTATTAATTCCTTAACAGATTGAAAATTGGTGTCACTTGTTGCGATAAAACAAAGCTGAAGGTCATACTAGGATTTAACTTATCATTAGGAGATCCAATTGGTATGATATCAAACCAAAAACGTTAATTGACTAGCTTATCACTGGGTATTACATTATTAGGCTTGCATACAAAACTGATCATTCATTATGACTGATTCGCACACGTTTAGCTCAGGTGTATATGTGTAGGCAATATTTACCACTCAAGGTAGTTGGCAAACGAAATACTAGGTCACCTGCATGGTAACAGACAATGGTAAAATCGTGCGGTTACTGATTTACGTAATACTGCTGATTCTTAATTGGTAGGATAACTTGGAGCAGATTACATTGAACTGAAGGTAATACGCGTTACATGTAAAGATAACGTGATATAGATATTGATGAAGGTAATACCAGGTCGTTTATATTTTTGCAGGTAAGGAGAACCTAAGGAGCCTCAGTGTTGGGTACGAACAGGAGGGACTGGTACAATTTGTTATAGACTCTGTGTACGCCTTAGCTCACGCTCTACACGAACTACTGGCAGATAAATGTAAGGGACAGTACAGACACTGTAACCTGTCGGGCAAGGAAATCCTCGCCTACATCAGAAATGTCACTTTCGCAGGTGAGTTACACTATTCTTGTTCTTTCCTGGTAACAAGGTAGCTGACATAAAGATTTATCCTGCCTTAGTTAACTCATCGATATCGACGTCATACCATTCGTCTACGACTTATTCGTTAATTGGCATTGGAATGCGTTCTCTCCTAGTTAGTTGACGGACAAATGTGTTCTGACTTAGTTGGCTTAGGAATACATTTTTTCCATTCTT